TAATCACTTGATGAATACTATGATCCTTGTTTTTTAAAATTATAACCTGTATTAGATCTACACTATTTACATTATTCTGACTATTATCTGAATCTTTGTGACCATATTCATTACAACATTTTGGCCGTTGTATGCTCTGCTTGGAATGTTGAACTGAACCCTTTATTTCGCTCACTGGGGTAGACTGTTCTAGTTCCACGTGCCATGTTTAATGGATGTCAGTTATCAGTTATTCTCCACTGCCTTAAACGGGTATTGAACTCACACTCTTTGGGTCCTGTCACTGGATATAATTAATGCCTTTATCCACTGTGCTATGTGTCCTTGAGGACATGGGTATTATAAACCTAATGTCTTCAGCAACCATTTTTTAACAGTGCTCATATTGCAATTTTTTGCTGTTTTTCATGTTTTTACTAGAGCTCATATTGCAATTTTTGTTATTATCGCTCTTCTCTGACCACCTAAAGAAGGCCAGAGCATACAACAGCCATAACATTATAATAAATATGGCAACAAAGATGAGGAGAATAGTCCGAATAATGTAAATAGTGTACATAATACCTCATCTCAGAAATATAGACAGATATTGTATTAGGTCTTCCTTTAAACAGTTTCTCGAGTTTATCCCTCTTTCTAGTAGTGACAGCAGTTGCCTTCCTAACTTTTTGTTCAAAGTCGTGTGGAATGTCAACATCTTGATTATGTCATTTTCTCTGAGTTACATGTGCTCTCCATTTTAATTGTTGCTGAAACTCTTCTAGTGATGTGGTTTCTCTCATTTGGTAACGTGCTTTGTTTGCACTTCTCTAACACCAGCCTACAAGATCCAGTGAGGACAGTCCTCTTCAAGACCTACAGCATTCATTTGCTTGAAGCCATTTCTAATCATGGATCTGTGAGCAGATGTATAAAGCTGACAGTTTAGATATTTCTGAACAAGTTTAACACCATGCATGGTATCCAGATGAGAGTCTAGATCTGACAAGATTATTTGTGAACATCAACAAATTTTATTATAAGGAAGTGACAAGTTTAAGATTTTGTTGTATTTTTCCAATTTTTGACAGGGGTGTTGTACATCTCGATCAAACAATAAAATATTTTTGACTCAGTTATGATCAAGAACTATATTTTTCCCCCAAGTGTCATAGACCAAATATATTAAAATAAACACATTTCACCACAGAAGATGGAATTAAAACAAAATTTGATATATTCATTTTGTAGTGATGTCAAATTCTATAAAATGGTTCCACATATGATGCCACCTACAGGTTACGTTACATGTATATTTTAATTTGAAATGTAATATTAAAAAAAAACAAATTCAAAAAAATTATCTAACAAAATTTTAATTATGTTGATAACTTAGTTATTGATAATAACACAGACAATTGAAATTATTCATACAGGAACAGAAGAAAAACAAGAACTTTGGACAGTTTATCCACATGAGGCTTATTCAAAAATAAAAAAAATCAATTCAGAATTTAACAGGATAATCTTGTTGGCTGGCTATATATATATATATATATATATATATATATATATATATATATATATATATAAAAAAAAAAAGAACAGTAAGCAAGAGATATAACCCAGTTTTCTTATTGATATTTTTATTTTTACAAAATAGTGCTCAATGTAAATTTGCAGAACATTAATATTATAAATTAACTGATTTAAAATATGTTTTTTTTTGCTACACAGTAATAACCATGTTTCAAAAATGGAAGCTAAAAGCTTCGAATTTAATTTTGTAATTAAATTAAAAACATTAGTTCCATTTCATCCTCAAGCGAATTGCGTGTGTGCACTCAATTATATACTCTAAGCAAAACATAATTATAGATACAGATAAACAGCCCACATTAAAATAAAATATTCACTACAGGAGACAGTATCTTGAATTGCATATATTATATTAGTATAAAAGAAAATAAGATGATAAAAAAATAAATAAGTAAATACAATAAAATAAATAAATAAATTGCATTCTTTTGTATGGACTTGTTTCCAATAACCATTATACATGATGTCATGTTAGACTATTGCAAATTTCCAGCTTCCCAAAGAATACCAGGATGTAGACAAAGGAATTCTAACTGCCAAACAAACACCACATCGGTTCATGATAATGACTGTGAAAGACGAAAGTACTTGAACAAAACAATAATAAAATATGAACTTAGGACCATTTAACCACAACTTTCAGCACAATACTTAATAACTTATTTGGTTATATACCTTCCTCTCTGCTGGTAGATAATGCCAAATCGATTAGGTTTCAAGCCTGGCTTGAAGCAGTTGGATGTCTAGCCACAATGATGAGCTGTGATACAGTGAAACAGTCTGTGAATGACACACATTTTATATATATATATTATATATTATATATATATATATATATATATCATCCACAGGCACTGTTTCGCAGCTCTTCAGTGTGGCTAGACATGTGATTGCTTCAAGCCGGGATCAAAACACAACCAATTTGATATCAGAGTCAATTTGTGTAAGTTTTGATTTTTTTTTTTTTTTAATATAACAACAACTTTTGTAGTTAAGATAATACAGAAAATAATAAAATAATTCAGCCCTCTGCCAGTCATCAATGTTCATGGATTTGATCCCATCCCTATGCTCCTCTGGAACATTACTGCCTGTGGCTGAACAGACTGTTGCATGAGTGGCAGCCTGTTGCACAAGTCACACCTGTGAGTCGTCTATGCTGCAGTGTTCTTTTCCGTCAATTCGCTTGTCTTCTGCTGCATTGTTCAGTTTCTCCTCTCATGATATTAGTTGTTTAGTCAAGGTGCTTCTCCACCCAGAGCAATCAGAAGCAATGTCCTCCCAGTGGCCGTTGTGGATCTCAAGGGTCTTCATGTCCCTCTTACAGACACTCTGTAGCACAACCGAGGGTAACCGGTGTCTTTTGCAAGTTCCTCATAGATGATATCTTTGGGAATTCAGCCATCCTCCATACGACAAACATGACCCAGCCATCAGAGCCTGTGCTGAGCAAAATAAACATGGTTTTTAGGCCGGCACAAGACAGAACTTCAGTGGTGGACACTTTGTCCTGCCACAGTATGTCCAGGATACACCTCAAATGAAAAGTGTTCAGTCTCTTCTCTTGCTCGACATATGTCATCCATGTCTCACTCCTGTAGAGATGTGTGCTTATGATGCAGGCATTGTAGGTTGCCATTTTAATAATAAAGATACTTGATAAATATAACAGTTTAATTAAATTTTATACCTTTCTTTAGCAGCTAAATTATATTTTTTAATTATAGGTATTTAATATTTTCATTGGATTTACCTACTTTATTTTTCTTAAAATGACTCTCATAGATTCATTCATTTAATTTTCTTATATCAGCACCTATTGGGAATTAAATTCAACCCAGACCTTAAATGAAACATGATCAGTCCCTAAAGATTCTGGAAAACATCAGTACCTGATGACTTCTGCTATCATCTAAAAGAGCCAGATCAGGCCAAAAATGGAGTACAGCTGCCAGTCTTTGCTTTACAGTCTCGATAGAATCCCAAAGTGTCTCTGCATCCTTATCATGACAAATTATTTTCCACCATACAACCCCTTTCCTCATGGACTAAAACATAAGCCTTTTGCTGCTCTATCACTATTTCGATGGAAAATGTCCAGATAAACTACATTCCTCCATTCCACCAGTTCTAACCTTTAGGGCTAAGACCCACCATGTAATACACACTGTAGTGAACCACCCTCACCCACGTCACATTCTGTTGGTGAGATTTAAGTCCCACTTTATCAGCTTCTTCTAGTGAACCTTTGCTTTGTGGAACCAACTCCCATGTAGATGATTCCCGAAAAACTACAATGATAACTTGTTCAAGCCTAACCATTATCTTCCATGCATATCCCAATGAACCGTGCCTCTTACTTTGTAACTCTACCTCGAGTGGCTCTTGGGTCTTGTACAGGGTGAACATTATTGTAAAAAAAAAAAAGAAAAAAAAATCAAGTCACCATAGTTACATTTTCTTTTAACATATTTCTAATGTAAAAATCTCATTGATTTGTTAATGTAGAGAACCTTGCAAGACAAGGTAGGAAAGTAACTGAAGCTGTGATGCCAGGTTAGGGCTGATAATATTGCAGATTCTTTGGATTGTGTCAAAAATCTCTAGATATCTTGTTGGTTCTAATCCCAATGGAGAATGATTGCAAAACACTTTCCTCTTCCCCAATTTATAGGCAGAAACACACAATGGCATGCTGGGATTTCTTCCTAACCAATAGAACGAAATAGTTATCGGTTTCGTATGACTCTGATCCGGTCAGTCTTGTTTTGAAGTAAGAAGGCAGCATTCATTTATAAAAATTCACTTTTGTGAGTCGATGGCAAGTTTTAGTTCATGAAAATTTTGCCATATTACTGTTAATTTGCCTTGCATATATTGTTTGCTTGCTTGCTTTATATTATTTTTTACCTGTTCTTTTTTTTCTTGTTATTGCTTATTTCTTTTAATTGTTCAAGTTTGGTGACTTGTACAATCTGCATCTGTAAGTTATTAGGGGGTGGCATATCAGAATTGCATTAAGTAAGCATAACAACTTGTCTTAGTTAGTATACATTCTGCTTGCTTTGGATTTCTTGCCAAAGTGTTATTGAAGATTAGTATATATATATATATATATATATAAAAAGCAGCTGTCAGTGCTAACACATCAATCTTCATTAATGAATAGAGCACTCTGGCTGTCTGGAATTTCTTTACATTTGTAAAAACAATACGCTAGAATTCATCTTTCTCTTTACTGAAGCACTGATACCATATATATATATATATATATATATATATATATATATAATATATATAAAAATCAAGAAGAAAACCTTAAAGATTAATTTTGGTTATAATTTATTTTGTGAATATCTATATATTCATCTCTTCAGACTGAAATCTCTTAGCAAATGGAGATAATACCACAGGCTGATATATTAGATTGGCAGCAAGAAGGGAAAGCATGGCAGAAGAGAAGAGAAGAGAGGAGGAGGGGGAAGAAGAGAAGAGAGGAGGAGGGGGAAGAAGAGAAGAGAGGAGGAGGGGAAGAAGAGAAGAGAGGAGGAGGGGGGAAGAAGAGGGGGAGGGGAAAGAAGAGAAGAGAGGAGGAGGGGAAGAAGAGAAGAGAGGAGGAGGGGGAAGAAGAGAAGGAGGGGAAGAAGGAGGAGGGGGGGAAGAGAAGAGAGGAGGAGGGGGAAGAAGAGAAGAGAGGAGGAGGGGAAGAAGAGAAGAGAGGAGGAGGGGAAGAAGAGAAGAGAGGAGGAGGGGGAAGAAGAGAAGAGAGGAGGAGGAAGAAGAAGAAAAGTGACAAAAAGTGAGATAGAATGAGGGTATGAAAAGGAACAGGAAGAAGGAAGTAATGAATGGATAGTAGTAAGCCTAAAAACACTGACCTCACCAAGAATTTTCCCCTTAAATATATATACATATATTATTAACAAATAGGAAAATATAAATAACATGTTTTGCTTTTTTTTAAGGCTTTACAAGAGAATGCAGTATGGAAAAAAAAATGAAAAAAATCTGACTTTTTAAATTTCTGTTTTGCTTGTCTTTCCATTGTTTATGTAAGTGTATCATGATTCTAGTTTGTCTATGCGGAATTTGGGAGATAAATCAGACACGAGTAGTAATGGGTATCTCCATGCCAGCTTAGTTCATGGTATTTTGGTAAAGGCAATACAGACAGAATCAAAGTAACATCCAAATTCTGGGAATTGATGTTAGTATTTGTTTTGCAGGCTATTTTCATTCTTTTTGCTTTGTACGTTCTGGCCGAGAGTTTGGAAAGTTACTGAATTGACACCAAATTGAACCTTGAATCAATGCATTGCAGATGTGAAACCTTACTAAAAATATGTAAAGGAAATCAATTTCAGACATCAGAAATTTGATATTAAGCAACACCAGCGAAGAAACACAAGACTAATTGTCAATAAATTCTTACACACTGTAATACAAATGGCAAACAATCAACTGACAGCAGTAAAAAACAAAAACAAAACAGCAATTGGATACTACTTTTGACTCACATGGTTTCCATGTAAGAGTGTGTGTGTGTATATATATATATATATATATATATATATATATATATATATATATATATGTGTGTGTGTGTGTGATGAGAGAGAAGCAGTATGTATACAGGGGTCAATACTGAATGGCAACAGTCTGTTTCAAACCTGAAGTTCATGTTCAAGCATGAATCACACTTTTGCCATTCAGTCTTGATCCCTGTGTCTACACTGCACATATGCTTTTGGTGGAATCACCACATTAATTTAACTTTAGATTAGGAAACAGGACTGATGCAGAAAAGAATAAGCAAAAGACATTGTTACACATAAAATATGTATTTAACAAGATGTACAATATCAAACAACAATGTGAAAGAAAGCATGCATTTAAGTAAGAAAAGGTTGAAATAAACAAGAGTTGTCTCTCTTTAACTGTTATTTTAGTATTTCAAAGTTCACTGGAATAATGTTCATGAGAGTCTCTTATAATAATTTTTCTTGAAAGATTTGCTGTGTAAGCAAAGATTATGTGAGTGTATACAAGGTATGTTCAGCATGTGAGTGGTGTGTGTGAGTGAGAAGGTTGGCACATGGTTTAAACTGTCGTGGATTCGTTTGGCAGCTGAATTCTCACTAATTCGCTAAGAAAAATTCTTGCTTAAGTAAGTGACTGTAGGCTCCAGATTGCTGTGTGGGAAGAATTATTCTTCATGTGCAGACAATCTGATTGGTTCGCATAGACCAATCAGCGAGCAAGCTCTGGGGAGATGTAAGAAAGCTTCTGTGATCCGTCTCTCCCAAAAGTGCACAAAACTCACTACATAAAAATAGAGCGATTACAAAATTGTCGAGATTTGTAAATTGTCTATAATAACATAGTGGTGATTAATTAACCAATGAATGCTTGGCATTGTATGTGATTTGTATTTTTGTATGTATGTATGTTTGTGCATAATAGATCCACACATGCTCACTCCCAGATATTGAGCTTTTTAACACACACACATTATATATAAAAAGTGTGTGTATTTTTTTTTTTTTTTTCCCTGTTTATACTTTATTTTCATAGATATTATTTAAGTAAATGTTCTGTTTTTCAATTAAACAGTATTAACTACATTTATCAGCCTGAATGTTCAAGAAATTTCATAGAAAATATGTGCTTCTCCAACAGGAATCGATCCTATAACTGTTTTGGGAACCACCACACAGCCTGATGTGCTGCTACCATTCAAATAGTTGCCGGACTTAATCCATTTCATAACATGTTGTCATTGTTTACATTAAGATACCTTTTGTGAGCAGAAGTGATCAGTTGAGAAAAATTGTTAAAGGCGTGTGTTTATAAACTGTAATTCAGACTTTGCTAACCAGATGCTTTGCTGTGGCTCATATATATATATATATATATATATATATATATATCTCTTTTAAGCATTTCATCTCAAGCAAGGTGAGAGTGCCACGAGAATACAAGGGGTTACAGAGAGTGGGAGTAAAGAGTAAAGAGACGTGATTGAGGAAAGGATAAAGAGAAGGACGGGGAATTATGTCAAGGTATCAGAAGATTTTGATTGACATTACATTTGAATATTTGAAGATTATAACTCTCAGGGAAGGGAGTTCCAGAAACGGGAAGTGTGAACTTGAAGCTACTGGATTAAAAAAGTTGGCTACATTTAACCATTCAAGCAATTCCTCTAGCCTGTCTGCAGATGTTTCTTATTTCTGTGTGTAGTGTCCTATATTCTGTTCCCACTTTTGGCATTTTTGTCTCCTTTCCATCATGTCAAGAATTCCATCTATTATCAATTCATTTTTTTTTTTCTTCGTCTATTTTCCTCTGGGATGATGTCGATTGCTGATATTATCAGGATTGCCATGAGAATACAAGGGGGTTACAGAGAGTGGGAGCAAGGGTAAAGAAACGTGATTGAGGAGAGGATAAAGAGAAGGACAAGGAATTAGATCAAGGCATCAGAAGATTTCGATTGAGATTACATTTGAATATTATAGCTATCAGAGAAGCAAGTAAGAGGAAGGGAGTTCCACAAACTGGAAGTCGGAGACAAAGCTATTGGAGTAGAAGAGATGGCTACATTTAACCCTTTCAACAGTGAAAGGATGGGACTAATATATATATATATATATATATATATATATATATAAAATGTGTGTGAATTAAAAAAAAAAAAAGAAGGAAAACTCAGCCAATATGTTTTGTCCTCAGGTGGACTTTATCAAGGCAGATGTAAAAATTTTATTTTACAACAATTATTTATAAACAAAAGTAAAACTTGTTAGTTTTTCAAAATTTTTAAATTCAAGAAAACTCAAATATACATCAGGGAAACTGAGAAGTCTAGGTAAATTATGAAAGATGCTAAGTGATATAATTTAATGTCTAATAAACAAAAGAGAGTTGGTGGTGTTTTTTTTTTCTAATGTAATTAATATATTTTGGGATTAATTTATGCATTATATATTTTGAATAATAGGAAGTTACAAATTTAACTGTCTTTTAATTTTTTTAATTTATGTAATCTTAATTATGATGTTCTTTGTGGCCAAGTTGGTTAAAGCATGCCAGATCAAATGATGGTTTCTCCTGCAAAGAGGGGGGACACTAATTCAAATCCTGCTAGAGGGAGCATTTAACTTTAAAAAGATTTCTTGAATATTTGCGCTGATAGACGAAATACTATTTAAAATAAATGTAGTATAAATATGAGTATCCACTTAAATAATATTTAAAGTGATAATACATAATAACAGCTGGCCATTTGTATTTGAGGATACCTATCTACTAGGGTGGCTAGCCAATCCCTATTGCAGATGCTCGCTCAGGCACATCTGTGTTTTGTTCAATACCCACAGAGCCAACCTGTGGTTTATACTGCAACTATGCTGAGCATACCTTAGTTACAGTTTCTGGGAGACTGTGTTATCTAGAATGATCAACAATCTGAACACCACCAGCACACTCAAACCCTCAGTCATGATGACTTGTGACTTCATGCTAGCACAGTTATCGATGACCCCACCATTGTTCCATCTACCCAATTTTACTCACAAGGATTGGGTCAACCAATAGTTTGATTTTCAGGTACTTTCCAAAAAGGTGGGACACAGTGGGATCATCCCCTGCACACCGATAATGAAATCAACTGTACTGAGATTTGAACCTGGTCTCATGGTCAGAAAGTGAATGTTCTATCCACCCAGCCACACACACACATATATATATATATATATATATATATATTCCTGATCAAACCAGACTCATAAATAATTACATCGATTACTCAACTACATGCTTATCCAGATGCCTTACGTTACACCCGTCCTTTAGAACCCATTTAAACACACACCAGACTCCATTAAAACATACTAGTAGAAAACAAATATATTAACTGCATCCACTTGTAAAAAAAAACTAAAAATAATGGAAGGTTTAATAATAAAAAAGAAAAAGCCAACTCTTAACAATATTAACTACGAACAAGGCCACAATATGCTAACTGTATTCGGAAATTAGAAACATCCCTACTATACACCAAGACATAATGCACACACTCAATTAAGCTGAAAAATCGAATCATCCTTGATAATGGCTAAAGGTATAGCCGAAAATGCTTGGGACTATAAAACATTTGGACAGTTTTTACACACTCTTTGTTCAGAAAAGAAAGCTCTTGTTCGAACACAAGGAAAACTAAATAAAAAGCTAACCATAGTACCTTGTCTGTCATTTTTAATGAAATATGCATGCATAAATAAAATATATATATATATATATATATGTTATAAATTTTTATCACTTCAAACCTTATTTTTAGTGAATACCTGTATTTGAGTAGAGGCTCAATTTTTTTAAAAAAAGTATTTATTTTTTCTACTGGCCAGAATAAAAAATGTGTTTTCTGGTAGGATCCAAACATCTGCTCCTTTTCAGGAGAAACCAGTGTCTAATATGGTGTACTTTGCTTGACTGAAGCTCTCCATGGCTGAGCAGTCAAAGTTCTGCTTGCCTTAATGCACATTCACTTGCATAGTTGCATCAAATGTGGGGTGGAATTCTTCCTGAAAATGGGTGGGAGTGCTGGAGGGCACATTTTCTTTATAAAGTTTTCTCAAGTACGCAAACTAGTAGATGAAATAAACACTTTTTAATTAAAACAGTGCATCAACACAAACACTAAAGATAAGATTTGAAGTTATAAAAATATGTCGGATTAATAAATAAAATTCATTAATTCTTTAGAAATTGCATATCTATCGCATATTTGGGAAGCAATCCCTCTTTTATACAAGTTTCATTAAAAACAAGTGACAAGATGCTGTATTTAAGTTTTTATGTAATTTTTCATGTGTTCTTGTAATTATTTTTTATTTCCCTGCCCCCCATTAAAATGTCTGATAGTCAACTTCCTGAGAGCAACTCTCTGCGCCTGCTCGGTCTCACGCTGACTGCTGACCTGAGATGGAACAAATACATTGAGTCAATTGCTTCTTCCACCGCAAGGAAAGTTGACTGTGCCGCGCCAGGAAATTTTTCTTCCCTGAATTGATACTTCAAATATACAAAACAACCATTTGCCCTTGCATGGAGTATTGCTGCCATATATGTGCTGGGGCACCTTCTGCTTACCTCGGAGTTCTTGAAAAGATCCAGAGACGGATATGTAATCTAATTGGCCCTGATCTAGTGTCTCGTCTGCAGTCACACTCT